GGGACGGCGCTAACGGTGTAAACATATCCGCCGTGTCGCTGGGTGCTGTTACCTGAGACTTGCTTCATGGGTAGGTCTATGGACGGCGCTAACGGTGTAAACATATCCGCCGTGTCGCTGGGTGCTGTTACCTGAGACTTGCTTCATGGGTAGGTCTATGGGACGGCGCTAACGGTGTAAACATATCCGCCGTGTCGCTGGGTGCTGTTACCTGAGACTTGCGTCATGGGTAGGTCTATGGGACGGCGCTAACGGTGTAAACATATCCGCCGTGTAACTGGGTGCTGTTACCTGAGACTTGCGTCATGGGTAGGTCTATGGGACGGCGCTAACGGTGTAAACATATCCGCCGTGTCGCTGGTTGCTGTTACCTGAGACTTGCGTCATGAGTAGGTCTATGGGACGGCGCTAACGGTGTAAACATATCCGCCGTGTCGCTGGGTGCTGTTACCTGAGACTTGCTTCATGGGTAGGTCTATGGGACGGCGCTAACGGTGTAAACATATCCGCCGTGTCGCTGGGTGCTGTTACCTGAGACTTGCTTCATGGGTAGGTCTATGGGACGGCGCTAACGGTGTAAACATATCCGCCGTGTCGCTGGGTGCTGTTACCTGAGACTTGCTTCATGGGTAGGTCTATGGGACGGCGCTAACGGTGTAAACATATCCGCCGTGTCGCTGGGTGCTGTTACCTGAGACTTGCTTCATGGGTAGGTCTATGGGACGGCGCTAACGGTGTAAACATATCCGCTGTGTCGCTGGGTGCTGTTACCTGAGACTTGCGTCATGGGTAGGTCTATGGGACGGCGCTAACGGTGTAAACATATCCGCCGTGTCGCTGGGTGCTGTTACCTGAGACTTGCGTCATGGGTAGGTCTATGGGACGGCGCTAACGGTGTAAACATATCCGCCGTGTCGCTGGGTGCTGTTACCTGAGACTTGCGTCATGGGTAGGTCTATGGGACGGCGCTAACGGTGTAAACATATCCGCCGTGTCGCTGGCTGCTGTTACCTGAGACTTGCGTCATGAGTAGGTCTATCGGACGGCGCTAACGGTGTAAACATATCCGTTGTGTCGCTGGGTGCTGTTACCTGAGACTTGCTTCATGGGTAGGTCTATCGGACGGCGCTAACGGTGTAAACATATCCGCTGTGTCGCTGGGTGCTGTTACCTGAGACTTGCTTCATGGGTAGGTCTATGGGACGGCGCTAACGGTGTAAACATATCCGCCGTGTCGCTGGGTGCTGTTACCTGAGACTTGCTTCATGGGTAGGTCTATGGGACGACGCTAACGGTGTAAACATATCCGCTGTGTCGCTGGGTGCTGTTACCTGAGACTTGCTTCATGGGTAGGTCTATTTCCACGACTAATGTTACAGGACAGTAGCAATTGCAATACATACAATAGGATGCCTACTGAGGTTGTTGCACTACAACATACAGTATAACCCCTGAAGAAACGACAGCCTTGGTGTAGCAAGACGCGCGTGGTGCAGAAAGAGCCCTATTTGACTGAAGTATAATGCTAAAAGTGCCCGGTAAGGAACAGGTGTGCACGTGACTGGGAAACTGTCCAAGGTCTGTTTATTTTGTTGTGTGGAGACAGACATGCAGTGAAGCACTCCGATGTGTCCAACTTTGTTGAGTCGAACTTTGATGTGTCGAACTTTGTTTAGTCGAACTTTGATGTGTCGAACTTTGTTGAGTCGAACTCACGGTTGTCTCGAAGTAGTGAGTGAGTGAGTTTAGTTTTACGCCGAACTCAGCAATATTCCCGTTATATGGCGTTGGTCTGTAAATAATCGAGTCTGGATCAGACAATCCAGTGATCAACAGCATGAGCATGTATCTGCACAATTGGGAACCGATGACATGTGTCAACCAAGTCTCCTCTTACGACACGCATGTGTTACTGAAGATCAATATTCTAACCCGGACCTTTGCGGGTTGCTCGGGTGTGTTCAAGAGGAACTACGGTAAATACGCAGAGATATTTACAACAGTGACAAGTCTGAATTACGACGCAGAAGTTAATGTTCCGTGACAACGTTTACGAAATCCTGTCTGACATCTCGCTTGTTGATGGTTCTCAAATTAAAAACACATCTGCAGGGCCCTTAAGTATGCCGATATGACCTTGACCCACTAGTCATTCTCAGATCGTTCGCGAGTTATTCGCAATTTATCTAAAAAATTGTTCAAAATCCAAAAACAATTTGTTTCGTTACATATTCACGTATGTCACTTACACAAACATGTACACAGTACAACGAGAAATTATTGAGAATTTAAGATTATATTTGCAAACAAAAATTTCACTCATTACTCACGTATTAAATGTGAATATTAGCAGAACATAACTCCAGATTCAAAGACTGGTGAACAGTTAGTATTTTGTCAAGTCACCATGGGCAGCAACGCAGGTTGCAATGCGGCGGGGCATACTAGTGATCAAAGAAGTTAGAAAGTCGTGGTCCATGCTGTCCCAATATCGGACCGCCTCTTCTTTCACTTCAGCAATATTTGTCAGATTTGTCTTATTGACACCTTCCTTCATAAGTCCCCAAACATTTTCTATTGGATTTAGGTCAGGGTTATAGCTTGGCCAAACTAATAATGTCATATTTTGGGTCCGAAACCAGGTCTGTGAATGCTTTGAACGATGTTTTGGGTGTTGTCCTGCTGGAAAATCCAACAATTTCCATACAACACGTGAGCAGATGGAAGTAAATGTCCCTCGAGAATATCTGTGTACCGCTCACTGTTCATATTCCCTTCAAATACACAGAGGGTGTTGCCCCTAACACAGATATGCCACCCCACACGTTAAATTTCGGACTGTACTTTGGGCGCTGATACAAAGGTTTTTCAGTTTATTTGGTCCAGAATTTCAGTGTATTAGGAAACAGCCACACAGAACTTTCATCTGAGAAAATCACATTGTCCCAGTTAAAATTTATATGCTGTAAGCACCAGTTCAATCTTTGCTCCTTTTGTTCAGGTTACATGATCGGTGATGGAATTCCTCGACTTTTCTGCCAACCCATTGCAGGCAGCTCAGTTCTAATTGTCTCCTTACAGACAGCCACAGTTCCTCTATCAATCATATCCAGCCTTAAGTTTTCTAGACTCCTTCGTTTGTTTTAAGAAACAAGAATACCAAACCGCCTCCTGTCACCGACAGTCAATTTTCTGGGCCTACCTGCGCCAACCTGGTGCTCAATGCCATATCCATTTGCAATACTTTTCAAAACACGATAAACAGTGGACAAAGGGATGCCTGTTCTACTTGAAATCACTTTAGCTGATCTGATGTCCTTGTTATAATACTCTAAAATCAACTCCCTCTTCTCTAAATCATCCCTACTGAGGATCACTGAAAATGTCGTCTGCTAGCAAGTAAACAAAGGGGGATAACTCTTCACAAAGTAATGAAAAGGATTAACGGAGTTGTCTCTCTTGAATTAAACCAAGCACTTGATAGAAATCCAATTAAACATATTCCTATAATTCTCAATAATTTCTGGTCATACTATATTTTCATACATGTTCTGAACTTGGACATTGAAAACATCATATCTCACACCTCGGAATATCTGATAAACATGCATCAACGACGGACAGCAACCAGTTTCAGTTATGATGAAGTAGAACTCGTTGGGCAAAACGAAGAAAAGACATAATAACAGTTAATACTAGGTAAGAGGACCTCAAAAAAACAGTGACACCAGGTGTCTGAGTCGTGCACTTACCATACCTTGACCATCGGTTTCTGTAAATGACGTCAGGTTAAAGGCAACAGTGCGAGAACAGAAGTGATTTCATTGGTCCAGTGATGTGCTGACCATGGTCACACGGTGACATTAAAAGAGGGACTAACATCACGAGGGTCAGATAACTCCTGATAACAAACCACAGATTCATGACTCCCTAACGTTCCACGATCTCTGGGAGTAAGGGGCTCCAAGTACACGTCCTTAATCATTATCAGCCAGCACCAAGTAGTGTTGTGAGTCGACCACACACATACTAAAAGGAAATAAGTAATTGAACCAAATATGAAATACGTTTCCTCTAGAGCAGTTTCGGTTTTGGAATTTTCTGGACTGGTGACAATGTCGACATACAAAATATATTGCTTCACAAAAGCACCTGATTCTGTCATCAACGTTTAAATGTGTCCTACTTCTGGAGGAGCTGTCGGGTTCTAATCTCGTAATGGTTTCTACTTTGTTGTGGTTGTGTAGTATAATATATATAATGACATTCTTTTAACCCACGAAGTAATGTGTCATATATCACCGGACAAAAGACGGTGTTGCAGGTGCAGCAAGGTGTCGTTTTAAGCCCTGCTGGTTCTATACTGATTTTAATTCATAGAGCTCAAGTTGAAGGAAACAAGTGTCACGTTGGGTCCCATCAGCTTAAGGCGCCGAAATTCGCTGTGTGTGAAATTCGAGTTGCTTCCCCTAGACCTGCCAAACTTCTACAAGCTGGGGTTCTAATCCCGATCTGCCTTTATCATGTTTCCAAATATTTCTTCATACGTCATTATCTAACTGAAATACTCATCAATATACATAAAACATACAGCCTTTCAAGTACACTAACATGAAAATATCTGTTGAAATTGGTCATAAAAAGTATATACATGGATCACTGACCGGTGCTAAATTGAACATGACAGCAAGTGTTAAACATCTCCTCCTTTCTAATACCCCATTAACCTGTACAGTTCTTATCCGTTTATCCCTTGTAATCTCTCTGGCTTCAATCAACTTATTGCCAAGTTAGTTGTGGCAATTCTGCTGTTACTGTCTTTTCTTTGTTGCACGCTGTAGATATACATCTGCCTCTCCTACAACGTAAATATTTTGTAAAGTGTTTTGACTGTGCCTTACAAGTCATAAACTTTGTGTACTTCATTTTAAAGTAATAAAATAGAAAATAAACGAGGGAAATTTCATCTAAATCGTCTGAAAATCGAATCTGTAATGTTCCTGACAATATTCCATGTTAATTAATTGACAATATATCTAGACAGAGTTTACAAGTATCGATCATCCTGCCAGGTAATATATTGCACACTACTAATGACTGATAGAATGAATAAATAAGGACGTGCAGCTGTATATATACAAATATATATAATAGTCACGATTTTCACGATAAAAAGATATGGTGAAGAAGGGGCACCTTGTTTAACAGCCAATACTTAGTAGCTTCAGAAATCCTGTTCTGGCAGGAAACCATGCAGAGTAAACCTATCGCAAAGATTCGTTATCGTTAGATCATCGGTTTTCAAATATATGTAACAGATATTGCAGTTACGGTTTCATACAAAGTGAAACGTTTGATAAACAAGTTAAGCTTTCAAAACTTCGTTCATATATGCCCATCCGCAATACCATGTTCCTAGCTTAAGTCATCCCAGTATCGCTTGTTCACAGGTCTCCAGTGTAGAAAAGACCTGCAACAGACAGACACGATACGTCAAAGAATGCCATGGGAATATACACTGGTAAGCTGTGGAGTACTACCAGGACGTACGGAAACATGATAAGACCACATCATTCAAAGAATGTTTCTCATTGCCAGGGTTTTAATCGTAGATTTTTTGCTGTTTTAGGTTTGGCTAAATTTGCTGATAATCGCCAGTTGCAAATGGAATGATGTAAATCCTGCTGGGCCCATGCAGATAGCAGAGGCACTGTAAGTCCCCATGTTATTATTATGTTTTACAGATTAGAGATGAATATGCAGCAGAGAGGGTTCGGGTGATCCTGGCACAGTCAGGCTAGTAAGGCTCATCATCAGCTCAGGGCCCTTGCCCCCTCTACACGCAGCCCAGACAGCGAATGGGACTTCTCCCAGGAAACACTGCCTAGTCGAAGCCACCAAGAACTTTCCGGAGAATATGAAGGCTCCCCAACACTGCAGCCTTCTGCATTACCCAACGTGTCAGAAGGGCTGTGCACCCGGTGGAGAACCCGGGCACTCTCCTGATCTGCGCCAAGAGATCAGGAGGTACCAAACCAAGGGCACCGAGAACAATGGGGAGCCTGACGACAGTGTATTATTATTATTATATGATATTTATATAGCTCACATATCCAGGCAACTAGTGCATGCTCAAGACGCTGGTATTGTTCCCTCGCTCATTGGATGTCAATCTCAACGGCACATCGTATTATTAATCTCAACTGCCTGGGGAGTATACAACTCTTGCAGCCACTAGGCGCACCGAGTTTTTGCGGCTTTCTCATCCTTACGAGGTACCCATTCACAGCTGGATGGACTGAGACGCATAATCACAGTACTTTGTCCAAGTTCACTGCATGTTGCTGTACCCGCATGTTCCTTAGCATGGTGATCTCCCTCAAGCTGCTGGCGATCTACAGCCTGTTTTTATATTGTACTGTTACATATAATGGTATATTTTATGGTTACATACTGGATTTGAAACAACCTCTCCGAGAGTCTGCTTATTTAATAGACCTTTGATGATCTTTTATAATACCAACATGCATTTACTGGGCATACAAAGCTTTTGTAGTCACAGTGTGGCTGAAATACTTCCAAAGTGACTCTAAATTTTACTCACTCACTCACTCACTCACTCTTGAACTTGAAAAAACGAGGACAATAAGCTGTCAATGAATACAGACAAGAAAGGTAACAGAAAATAGCAATTAAGGCCAGTATATGTAGACAAAAAGGTCCATTAGAATCGAGAAAACGGTTACTGATGATAGAGAATGTAAATAGTAAAATGACCCCAGAAGCACAAAGAAACAACGAAAGAGTACACGACAACAAGTTTGAAGATTTTGTATTAATGTAAACCGTATCTTCAGATAGCGTGGGGCGGTGGGGTAGCCTAGTGGTAAAAGCGTTGCTCGTCACGCCGAAGATCATGGTTCGATTCCCCACATGGGTACAATATGTGAAGCCCATTTCTGGTGTCTCCCGCCGTGATATTTCTGGAATATTGTTAGAAGCAGCGTAAAACTAAACTCACTCACTCAAATAGCGTAACTGATTGATGTATAACTCCCCCGAAACCCAAACAATGTGTAAATTTATACTTATCCCAAATTGCTTGTAAGGGGTAATAGGCTTAGTAATGATACAGATTTTCGCGAATCCAGTGGTAACCATCACCAACACATGCAAAGACAAGTAAATTATCCACCTTAAAAAACACGGGATCATATAGTTACAGTGACGTACCCACCTGCAATGCACGCTGTCAAAAAGCAGGCCACGTTGCCTGCGATCATGGCTCTCAAAGCTAATTGCGTCAGGTCCCCGCTCCTAGATGGAGCCATGGCTCCTAATCCTCCAATCTGGATCCCCATGGAGCCGAGATTGCTAAATCCACACAAGGCATACGTTGCGATAACCTGTGACCGTTTCTGTAAGAATGAAAATGTGTATCTTCTTTGAGTGTTTTCCATAGACATATGATCTAAACCACCTGTATTGCTTCAGACTTCCTCTCACACTAAATAAGGGGCGGTGTGGTAGCCTAGTGGTGAAAGCGTTCGCTTCTCACGCCGAAGACCCGGGTTCGACTCCTCACATGAGTACAATGTGTCATGCCCATTCCTGGTGTCCCCCGCCGTGATATTGCTGAAATATTGCTAAAATCGGCGTAAAGTATACTCACTCACTCACACTAAACTAACACGCCTTGTTATAACTGGAACACTGTTCACAGCGGCGAAAAAGAACACTCAGGAGTTGTAACGGATCGAACTTGGACCAGACAAACCAGCCTCGTCGTAGGCCGTCAGTGTAGGCTGACACGAAATCAACAGTGTAACCGAGCCAGTGTGAATGAGTGAAGTTTACACCGCTTGGTGTTTTTGCAATGGGCTAACCTTGTGGTTAAAAAACTTTCCCTTGTCACGCCGAGGACACGGGGCTGGAATCCAACATTTGTACAATTTCTTGTGTCCTCTGCCGTGATATTGCTGTACTATTGACAAAAGCGGCCCACACTCACTCACTCTGTCACACACTCATACACTCACTCACTCACTCACGGACAAATACAAATCGTTACTTACGAGCATAATTCCACCAACTAAGGTTTGGCCCCAGTCCGTCAAAAAGATGTCGTCATTGGGTTGAGTTACCCACGTAGCGTTAGGTAACGTTGTTGTATAGTTGTCAAATATGTGACCGTTATCTATCAGTTTCCCCATCTCAATATACGCCACGAACTCATTTGTAAATGTCTTGAAGCCAATCAGCCTGGCCATTCGCCGACAGTCGACTGGATCAATACCCATCACATAACTGATTGGGTAGAACACATAGGAGCAGATCAACTGTGGATGAAGAAAACACACACAAACATTATTTTATATCCAGGACATGAGGTCTCATGTCGCGGAAACCTGATTGCTACCGATGATAGAATATTTATCCACCCACAGGGTCCAATAATAGTTTAAATACCTACAGGGCCCGTAAGTAGGTCACGGCACTTCGCGAGACCGTACGTTGTTTAGTACTTCCGGTGACAAACAACGTTTCATACCTTTTCGAATGGTCTCATGGTTGTCAGTTGACAGTAAGGAACCGATAATCCTTGCCGGAATAACAAATTGCCGATCTAGTCATCCCCAAAATAGCCAACTATAACGACTGTCAACAGGTATGACAGGGAAGCATGGTTGTACACTTGGTTCGGTCTAGTAAAGTCATGTTATGCAGTCGCGCAGTTTGGAACCAGAACTGGTTCTTGAATATACGCTTGTCACCGGAAGTATCTTATACCATATCGCATGTCGCAAGTTGACGCACCCCGGGAACCTAAGAAAGAAAGTTAACTCCTTAGTATTATCATTTATTATTGCAGAAACAGGAACGGGGTCCAATATCACCGATCATTTGAAGGAATCATCTGCTGGTTGTCGGGTCACGTCGGCATAGCAGATAACACAAAAGCCGACGCTGCAGCTAAAGCAGCTCCCTTATCTCCACTGCTGATCCCGTACAGTGATTTCAAACCCACTATCAAAAGCTATACTCGGGACCTCATGCAAAAGAGGTGGGACACTCAAGTAGGAAGAAATAAACTGTATGAACTGAAGCCAACAATTGGTTATACCTACTTGGGTTGTCAGTCAAGACGTGATGAGGAAATTTTACGACGATGTCGTACTGGCCACAGTCGGTTTACACATGACTATCTGTTGAATACGGATGGGGATGGAGCCCCCATGTGTGTCTCTTGCGATGAGGTTTTCACCATCAAGCATATTCTGCTTGACTGTGTGGACTTATCGTCTGCAAGGGACTCACACTATGATGCAACAAATCTGAAAGATCTGTTCTACGGGTGAGCGCTCATCTGATAGTGAACTACCTGAGGGAAGTTGATCTGTATCATAAATTGTAACTGTATAATGTGAATAACAAATTGCCTGCCTTTAAATTTAGTGCTATGCCTTTTTCTGTCTTTAAATGACAATGTAATGAATATATGTTTTTGAAATAAAACTCAATGTTTATTAATACAGACTTGTTCTCGTCACTATAAGGCTGAAATAATGCCGATGTGACGTAAAGCGCATCTCAACCCAACCCAGCATTCAGGCATTGACATTTAACATACCGGGAAAGTGAGACCCGCAATGCCAACCCTGTCTCCAAGAAACGTTAACGAGGAGTTGATGAGCTGCAGCAGCGCCAGGAACGCCATGACGTTGACAGCGACGTTGGCAACAAGACTTATGGCATCGGAAGCTCCTTTAGAAGCGGCCTCAATGACGTTGTTCTGTGAGCTGGAACAAAGTGTTACTACTGGGAAAAACGTCATAATTATTGAGACTTGCCGACGTTAACAAATAGTACGCAGCAAAGGCGTAAATTTGTGGGTAGATGTGAACATAATGTCACAAAATAAATGTACAGTGTATATGAAATTTAATATTGACCAGCTTACTGTTACTCACATTTGTAATGAAATGGGTTTGGGTGTGACGTGTGTGCTTGAGGGGAGGTCCTTCAAAACAAATTTCTGCTCCAACAAATGTCTAACACAATGATGAAACAAAAGTACATCACGAACAACCGAATGAGACAGACATGAGAAACAACTCACTGACAGAAAAAAACATGTGCTAAAGCTTTAAATAATGTGTTGAAAGAAAAGATTTATAGCGAAAAGAAACAAATGGCCTGTGCAGAACCTACTCCATCTTTAACTTGTAAACGTCTTTCTGATTAACTTTGGAGATCTCCGTCTCTGGATAGGTCAGTTTGGAGTTGGCCAGAGCTGCCGGTGCAGACATCACGGACGCCGCTAGCAGATGGTTAGCCTTCACCTTTGTGAAAGATAATGTCCTTGATTCTCAATGTGAACTCATAGCCGTTATTCTGGAAAATTCTTTACAAAGGTTAATCCCCTGGCCATTAAGCATGTCGGACATGTTTGTTCGTGCTTTCGAATACTAGATGATCCTCAGATTGGCAGCGCCTCATCTGTGCTAAACGTCTAAACCATGCATCACTTCGGGCATCCCTGACATGTTACACAGACACGCTGTGACATAACTGAAATACTTTTGGAAATGGTGTTAATCACAAATGATAGAAGTAAGCACTACGTGGTCTCGTTTTATTAATCAGCCATTATTCTCGAAACGTTCGTAGCCCTAAGAATTCTTAACTTTGATCGTAGCCAATGTGTTAAGAATGGGCTTAAGAAGTCCGTAGGGCTACGAACGTTTCGATAATAGCTAGCCTGATCCAGAATTAATATAGACTTCTCCACAATCACATCCGTCCTGAACGTGAAGGAGTCTGTTTATAAAACAACTGTGTACGTTACTTGTTTACGTCAGCTCATCCCGTACGTGACATACGCGCCGAGGATGCTGCCGGATACGGTGGCGAACCCCCCGGTCATGACGGCGTGCAACTCCGACTTCGTCATTGTCTTCATAAAGGGACGTATCATTAGAGGAGCCTCGGTCTGAAATACAATCATGAGAGATATCAGAAGAGCTGTACACAGGGGTTCAACACCAGCAGGGTGAACTATGCAATGCCTTTGATTTACAACCCTTTGCACGAAATATGCCTTCATTTCTTGTCTTCTCAAACGTACATTCAGTTAACTTATCACCATCCGTCCATGATACACGTGACCTGGCCTGTGAGGACTTCAATCCGCATCTCGTTGCAGTCAGCAACAAGGAGGAATGAAGCTGTGCTACAAGCCAAAGCACCTTGTTTTTGACGTACAGTTGGTTCATAAGGCAACTAATTCGGGCCACTGTCATCAGAAATGTCCCGAATCAATATCACGACTGCCATTTTCACAGCTGGTTTTGACAGACGTCAGACGTTTTGAGAGTTACCTCCCTTACTTTGTGGCCACTTGTTAACTCACCACTGGCGAGCCGTTACTTCCCATTCTCTGTTCGCACACATTTGTTCCTGGTACAGTTTTTCGGATTCTTTACGTTATGTTCACGTTAGATACAGTCACAGATTGCTCTCGTAACGCAACGACAAGGCAGACAACCAGAGCAGATAATGATGAAATGTAATTATGCATTAGTGTTTGTTTTAATCAAATTACATTAGGCAGCCATTGTGCTGTACTTGTGTCCTAAAAAGCAGTAAAATTTGAAACACATACTATCTTTCTTAATAAAGAATACACAAGTAAGGTAGGTTATTTAACGTTGACAGGTGTACAGGTAGATATGGTTTTGTTGTTGATTTTCTCGGGGGTGGTAAAAGCGTTCGTTCGTCACACTGAAGACCGAGGTTCGATTCCCCACTTGGGTACAATGTGTAAAGCCCATTTCTGGTGTCCCCCACCGTGAGTTTGCTGGAATATTGCTAAAAGCCGCTTAAAAGCATACTCACTTACTCTTATATGAACACAAGGTCAAGTACAGCGCATGGTGATCTGATTATTTGAGGGAATCAAAGGAAGTGGTGATGATATGGTGTATTTAGTCCGATAGGACATACGCAGAAAGCAGGATAGGGGTATAGGGCCCGTAAGTAGGTCACGGAACTTCTGGTGACAAACAATGTTTCATACCTTTCCGAATGGTTTCATGGTTGTCAGTTAACAGTAAGGTACCGATAATACTTGCAGGAATAACAAATTTTAGATCTAATCATCACCAAATTAGCCAACTATTACGACTGTCAACAGCTATGTCAGCCAAGCATGGTGGCACATTTGGTCTGGTGTAGTAAATCATATTTGGCAGTCGCGCAATTTGTAATCAGAACTGGGTCTTTAATGTACGCTTGTCACCGGAAATCTGCTACCGTAAGTAAGCTTGACCCCGTCTCGTATCAGCCTGGTTCCCTGGGTCTGTTGCGCCTGCGCTAACGCTCCGACACTGACCCAGGGAACCAGGCTGGTCTCGTATATTGCAAGTTGGCGCGCGCAAAGGCAGCCGGGAACCGTCTTAGTAACGGAAGTAGCGGAAGCGGCCATTTTCCGAACATCCCATATTGATAAAACAGAGACCATATATAACTTGTGGACAGATTGATTTAGCCAAACAATTTTAGAACATTTTCATTCACATACCCTCCAATCAAGAACAAAGAATCTGATTGGTAATTTGGAGGACTGGAGCGAGTCCATATACACGTGAAAGTGATGAACTGTTTAATCGTCACCTGTCCAGCGAAGATGTTGCCGGCGGCGTTCAGGGACTCCGTTGCCGTCGTCCCCAGACAGAATGATAGGAACCTTCCAAGTACCCGGATGATGGCCTGCATAGCTCCGAGATAGTATAGCACAGAGATGAGGGAGCTGAAGTACACGATGACAGGCAATACCTGTGGAAGACAAGAGACTGGAACGATGTTTTGCCTCTCGGGATGTCGACCTCCAAGAGTCAAAGAAAGAAATGTATATTATCTTAAAGCAGGTACCGAAAGTATATTCTGTCACTACCTAAAGCCATTATATGCAAATTTATGTAAATTTACCATTTAAGTAAGAATGAGATTCTATTCGTTCACCGAAATAGTTTTCCTATTCCAAACTAGGATATTTATCTTAAAAGAATCGATGGAGTCTACACGTAGTTACGGAATAACAAACATTTTATTGATCAATTAATACTTTCTTATAATTTGGGGGATATTCGTTGTTACAGTAATGATGACAAATTATTTCTTGAGCGTTAATCTTTCAAAACATGGAATTTTCATTCGTCATTAGAATCCTTCACAGATTTTCGTAACAATACAAGTGTTGGAGAGAGGACAGCAAACTGTCACACGAATGTCTTACATAGACATACAAACACATAGATATGGTGCTGACGTTACATCCACGATGCATTACATGTTTGCCTGCTGTACTTTCCCTTTATAAACTTCACCCATTACATATAGTATGACCAGAAATTATTGAGAATTTTAGGAATATGTTAAATTGGATTTCTGGTATAAACAACCATGGCCAGCTATCAAGTGCTTGGTTTCATTCAAGAGACACAACTCCGACAACTTTTTCATTAGTTTGTGAAGAGTTATCCCCCTTTGTTTACTTGCTAGCAGACGACATTTTCAGTGATCCTCAGTATGGATGATTTAGAGAAGAGGAAGTTGATTTTAGAGTTTTAAAACAAGGACATCAGATCAGCTTAAGTGGTTTCAAGTAGAACAGGCATCCCTTTGTCCACTGTTTATCGTGTTTTGAAAAATATTGCAAATGGATATGGCATTGAGCACCAGGGAGGCGCAGGTAGGCCCAGAAAATTGACTGTCGGTGACAGGAGGCGGTTTGGTATTATTGTTTCTAAAAACAAACGAAGGAGTCTAGAAAACCTAAGGCTGGATATGATTGATAGAGGAACTGTGGCTGTCTGTAAGGAGACAATTAGAACTGAGCTGCATGCAATGGGTTGGCAGAAAAGTCGAGGAATTCCATCACCGATCATGTAACCTGAACAAAGGAGCAAAGGTTGAACTGGTGCTTACAGCATATAAATTTTAACTGGGACAATGTGATTTTCTCAGATGAAAGTTCTGTGTGGCTGTTTCCTAATACACTGAAATTCTGGACCAAACAAACTGAAAAACCTTTGTATCAGCGCCCAAAGTACAGTCCGAAAATTAACGTGTAGGGTGGCATATCTGTGTTAGGGGCAACACCCCTCTGTGTATTTGAAGGGAATATGAACAGTGAGCGGTACACAGATATTCTCGAGGGACATTTACTTCCATCTGCTCACGTGTTCTATGGAAATGTTTGGATTTTCCAGCAGGACAACGACCCAAAACATCGTTCAAAGCATTCACAGACCTGGTTTCGGACCCAAAATATGACATTATTAGATTGGCCAGGCTATAGCCTTGACCTAAATCCAATAGAAAATGTTTGGGGACTTATGAAGGAAGGTGTCAATAAGAAAAATCTGACAAATATTGCTGAAATGAAAGAAGAGGTGGTCCGATATTGGGACAGCATGGACCACGACTTTCTAACTTCTTTGATCAGTAGTATGCCCCGCCGCATTGAAGCCTGCATTGCTGCCCATGGTGACTTGACAAACTACTAACTGTTCACCAGTCTTTGAATCTGGAGTTATGTTCTGCTAATATTCACATTTAATACGTGAGTAATAAGTGAAAAAATTAAAAATATTTACAATCTTAAATTCTCAATAATTTCTGTTTGTACTGTATATGCCAGAGCGTTAACATGAGTATAAAGAATCGTAAGCCAACATGAATGAACAGACTAAGATCAAATCATTCTGATTTATGACTGGCTGATCGCGCTGCAGATATATTCTATATTTTACGAAGCGTTAGTTACCTTAAAGGCAAACAAACTTGTGGTGAGGTTCTACATCTGTATATTTAATTTGATCTTTGCCGTTGACATTGGAATAGGCGGCCATAGTTGGGATTATGGATATCACAATAATAATAATAATTATAATAATAATTATAATGTGTCCATTTATGTAGCGCTAAACTCCACACTAGGTATGCCAGGGATACTCTACAACGGGGATAGGTCACTCGCTTGCTTTCTTTACCATTTGTACTAATTAACGTGTGCCTCGTCATGCTCCAACGCACACGGTGACTTGGTTCGGTCCCAGCGCAACTTCGGCTGCGTTTAACAGTACTTCAGCCAGTGTATTGTATCAGTCGGAATTTTACAATGAATGAATGAATGAATTAAGAGCAAGAATGTTATGTGAATGAATGAAAGAAATTAAGAAAAAGAACAAAAGATAACGAAAAAGAACATATGTGAATGAATGAAAGAATAAATAATACACCACGGCCATCCCTCCCCAAACATGTTAAAGAACGCAAAACTATCGGTATAACACATGTGTTAACATCAGCTGTCCTTTTTTGAAAAATTACTTTGAGACTGACACTGTCACAGACCCCTCAAGAACAGAAGTTTAGAACTATCACAAAGCGTTGTAAACACCTTTCCAGTTTTGTCAAATACTAAGATCAACAAGAAAGAAAGAAGTTTTAGAACTATAACGCTCAAGCATCACAAGCACCAATGGCGTATCAGAACAGATCGGCGATATGTCATATTTTTCACACACCTCAAATACACCCTAACAAAAACAAAAAACAATTTAAAACTATCACTTTTACTTGCAAAAACCTTTCACCTGATGGTATATTCCCCTCATAAAAATTAAAGGTGTATGTGAAAGATGTTTTAGAACAATAACTAGAAACACTCAAACAACGCCCTGTAGTATTTCAATGGCAGATCGGCGATATGTCATATTTTTCACACACCTCAAATACACCCTAACAAAAAAATTTTAGTTATAAAAATATCACTATTACTTGCAAACACCTTTCAACTAAAGGTATATTTCCCTTCTAAAAATTAAACGAATATGTGAAAGAAGTTTTTAGCGATATAATTTAGTCTTTCTTCGCTGTGTACTGAGAACTGAAGCCAGTGAGCTACAACATGCCCACTTGAAACTTTACTACAAATCTACTGTACTTATACTGACACTAATAACAATTATTTGACTTAAAATGAAGTGACAGAATAGGTAACTTATCTTCTACATGTAGGTTTTCAGTTGTCACAACACTCAGCGTATGTAATCAGCTGTTGAAAATAAACCGGGCTCAATCTTAAAAACTACGCTCCCGCCATATTGGCTACACTGGTCACGTGACGAGCCGAGGCATAGCTTAGGAGCTTTCCGAGGAGTGACCACTCCCCCTTATATAGTCTCCCTGGTATGCTCATAGCGCTAACAATCAAGGCACAGCACATTATTACCCCGGATAACCCAAGCTGCCTGTTAGGCGCTAGAAGGTTATAGTCATATGACTTTTTTCCACCGGGTACCCATTTTCCTGCTGGGTGAACAGAGACAATTTTGAACAAACTCACATGCCTAAGGTGAGACCACATGTATCACATGTGTCACATGTGCTTCGTTGTGGGGCAGGACTCAAGTCCCAGAAACTCTCAGGAGTCAAGCTGCCAAACACGGTCACCCATCCAAAGACTCTCCGAGCTCGACGCTGCTTAACTTCACCGATTTGTGACCTGAGCTTTTAGCACAGGACCACGCGCCACCACGAGGAAGAGAGTTTTATGGATGTCAACATCTTCATCATGGGGAACACAACATTTCGGAGTGTAGTTTTACTCCTTCATCCGTATGTATCCTTCATAATAACACGGCAACACTGTTGATATTTTACTGCTGAGATCACCCCTATTGCAGTATTGGCATATCCTAATGCTGCAGTTTATGGGGGACTGTATGGGGTTATGAGGAAGTGTTTCTTACCTTGAAGGCAACCATATGGTGCTCATAGCTGTCCCCGAACACAAACTGGGCGCCTGTGTTAGAGTAATCCAGGATCTCCGTCATCCTGTTCCCAAGCCACTCAAAGGCACCGTACCCCCACGTGGTCTTCAGTATCAGACAGGCGAAGACGTACTGGATCGTCATCCCCCAAAACACAGGGTGCCAGTTCACCTGCCGAGATCAAAGTGAGGTTCTTCATGTTTAAAGAGATTTTCCTCCAAGCTTATATTCAACATGTAACGCACTGACACACACGCGTCATGTGGCATGAGAACGCCAAGGTACTATATATTTACCCTGGCTGGGTTGACGCTTGTGATGTACATGACCACGATAAAGGCCGCGATGCCAATCAGGGACATGAGGTTCCTGGGTTGGGTTTTCCCGATCTCCACCCCCGTGTATACACCGACAAACACAGCCGCACACACGTACAGGAACCTGGAACACAAACAGTGAGTGAGTGAGGGAAGGATGGACGGACGGATGAATCTCGAACTCAAACAGTGAGTGAGGGAAGGATGGACGGACGTGTGAATCTCGATCACAAACAGTGAGTGAGGGAAGGATGGAAGGACGTGTGAATCTCGAACACAAACAGTGAGTGAGGGAAGGATGGACGGACGGAAGAATCTAGAACACAAACAGTGAGTGAGGGAAGGATGGACGGACGGAAGAATCTAGAACACAAACAGTGAGTGAGGGAAGGATGGGCGGACGGAAGAATCTAGAACACAAACAGTGAGTGAGGAAAGGATGGGCGGACGGAAGAATCTAGAACACAAACAGTGAGTGAGGGGAGGATGGACGGACGGAAAAATCTAGAACACAAACAGTGTGTGAGGGAAGGATGGGCGGACGGAAGAATCTAGAACACAAACAGTGAGTGAGGGGAGGATGGACGGACGGAAAAATCTAGAACACAAACAGTGAGTGAGGGAAGGATGGGCGGACGGAAGAATCTAGAACACAAACAGTGAGTGAGGGGAGGATGGACGGACGGAAAAATCTAGAACACAAACAGTGTGTGAGTGAGTGAGGGGAGGAATAACTTAGGTCAAGACTACACATCGTATAATTGATAACTTGATCATTCGATCACCCAGCTTACAACCGAGAGTCTCCTTAAGACAAAACCTGTAGCTATAATAGGCTCCACATTGCCACGCCATCACTATATACGAACTTGATATTTACGTATAACGTATATTTACGTATATTTATACGAACTTGATATTTACGTATAACCGTTTTGACGACACAGGACCAGTATGCTATGGAGGATATGTACTGATATTTTATACACTCGACCATCTCTTTGCTCAAACTAGACAGTGTCTTCGACAGAGGTCGGCGGTTCGATCCCAGTGCCTTTACAAATGACATAACAAAGTTGGCGCCTGGTATAAAAGGAATGGAACAAGGACTGGTCGGCAGTCATTATGCCGTGCCTGTCTGGGCACGTCCATGTTACGACAACATTGTGGCCATCACCATAACACCCCGCATAGTCAGGACAAGTTTATGCAAACACCTTTCATTTCCCCTGCCAGCTGTCTGAGACATTTGAAACTACCAATTGCCGCTAAAGCGACATTTCAAGAACAAACCTCGGCGCCGCGGATCACCGCGAAAGCCACAACGAATGAGGGAATCAATACCGTCTTTTCAAATAAGCGTCACCAATTGATCACAATGGATTAAAATTGTTTTAGTGACTTGTCCTTTGTTTGTTTGTTTAGTTAATTAATCTTTTGATATAATAATAATAATTTTGTTCTTTAATCTTGCATTCTCTGATTTTATTGTAGATCGCATTATCTTAATTTCTATGATTAGAATCTGTTCTGAGATAAAATTATAATGCTAATGGGTCATTCTATGGAAAGGGCAATTTCAGCTTTTGCTCTTCAGAAATTCTATTTGTATTTTTTGTATTTTTTATGTGTTCATATATATTAATATAATATTTCGCTCATATGACGACGTTCATGCGTCATAAATTGGACGATTCTGGGATTCGAACCTGTGGCCAGCGTATCATCTTAGATATGTAATGTACTGGATGTTCAGTATCATTCACTGAACAGAGATGTGTTTAAATTTGGACTGACCATCGGAGGGAGAGGTGAAATGTCCGGCATCTGTTGGCGCCGTGGTATCGCAAGCAGCCTCCGTAGAAGTTCTTCATGCCGTTCACGACGTAGCCTCCCCCTATACCCCACAGAATGATGAAGGCACCCAGGACCGTGACCACCATCAGTCGGTAGGATCCCTCGTCACCGAATCTGGAATATTACAGGGTGAACCTGCACTATACTCAGCAAAAAAAGAAACGCAAAGGTACACAGTTTTGAATTATCTGACGGAGTTTTGCTGATATTCAAACCCAATGAATATAAATATGAATACCTCGTGTCTACATACATCGGGAGGGATTTGTTCTGATAGAATATAGTACGGCTACAAATATCGAAAAAGTGGGGAAAAGCTGAAACGCAACCGCGTGGATGCGTGGTATAACACACATCAGCATGGAATGAACGTGCAACATGAGGTGAGGTGAAGTGAAATTGGGTTTAACGTCGTGCTTGAGAATATTTCGCTCATATGACGACGTGCATGCGTGTGTATGTGTATGTGCGGCTCATTGTACTAGCTCAGACGTAAGCTGGTTTTATAGTGCTAAACCACTGAGATACCATGCCGCAGTGAAACATGAATACCCCACTCAGACACATTATACTGACTCCGAGCCGACCAGTCCTTGCTGTACCCATTAATGCCGAGCGCCAGGCAGGGACCAACAAGTACCATATTTTAACGTCTTTTGGTATGACGTGGTCAGGGATCGAACCCGCCACCTTCCGCTCTCCGGGCGGACGACGTGTAACATGAATTGATTTGGGATTGTATAAGTCTGTCGTTACAACTGTACACATTCCACGACTGACGTAACGTTAACGCAACGCAACGTAACATCGCCATCGTCCGTAGAAAGGTTTTTCCACATTTCAAGACTTTGGAACCGTTATCAGACGCGGACCTGTCACAACTGCAGGGTGGGATTTGTTCATACGGGATCGCTAATTATGCGATAGATACAGCAGAGTCATCTCTAAAGCGACAACAATACCATGATTGCGTGGGATTTCAACCTCAGACAGTGAGGAATCGGTTGTATGTCTCACAGTCTCTGGATCGCATTTTGTCCCCTACTTCCTAGCCCCTGCAATGATAAAGCCCTTAATGAAGCAAGTATACATGTATATATCATTTCCCTTCGCTCGTCATGCCGAAGACCCGGGTTCGATTCCCCACATGGGTACAATGTGTGAAGCCCATTTCTGGTGTCTCCCGCCGTGATATTGCTGGAATATTGCTAAAAGCGGCGTAAAACTTGACTCACTCACTCTCCGTTTCAATTTATATGGGCTTATTTGTTACTATCAAAAGCCTGTATATTCGCCATTTGTATTCGCGAGTGAGTGAGTGAGTTAAGACTTATACTCACATCGGCAATATTTCAGCCATATTTTGACTTAAAAAGTTATAAATTGAGAATAAATGGAATTAAATTACAACAACCTGTCGACGAAGACAGTAAAATAACTAGATTATCACAGACAGAAACGTTAAACCAGTAATTAAATCTAAAAACATTTAACGATAGAGGACAACACAATATAAAAGCAGGCAATAGATCACCAACAACTGAAGGTAGATCACCATACTAGGGACCATGGCGACTTACAGTAGATTTGCTTCCTGCATGGACCCTAGCTGGATTTACACCATCCCTTCAGCTGTTAACAATTTAGACAAATCTAGCCATACATTAAAAACAAACATATTCTGCGATTAAAAAGAGTGGACTTTGAATGTGTTGGGACTTTTGTATCCGCGACATTCTGACTGATGAGCATCGTCGACTCAATAGTAATAAAGACACAGAGCATGGCCACAACCGCGAGGTGGACGTTTGGTTTAGTGACGAGTCATGTTTAGTGACGAGTCATGTTTAGTGACGAGTCATGTTTTATGGGGAACCTTATTCTTGAAAGTGCTTACAGGAAGTTGACAAGTTTAATTGTGGAAGTGTAAAGATGTGGACTCCCCTCTCCCATACCGGTATAACGAAATGGGTAATCTCGTTGATTCCATTTGGCTCTGGGCCATACAAGATATTGGGAACAGATGACCTTCACGTTGTCTTTCAACAGTTTCATATATGACATAATTATCCTCGCTCAGCGACAATGAAATGTCTCAATTTGGAACAATTTAATATGATCTGTCGATTATTTATATAATAATAAACATAAACATTTGAAAAACACTTTTGCGTTTCCTTTTTGGTGTGTGTGCACAATATACAGCATTAAAGCACCTGTAAGATACCACTGACACATATGTATTGCATCACCCACACTCCAGTCAGACCTCACAGGCACACCTGTAATACATCCCTGACACAAATGCAATACATCACTGACAAATCTGCAATACATCCCTGACACAAATGCAATACATCACTGACACACATGCAATACATCACTGACATATCTGCAATACATCACTGACAAATCTGCAATACATCACTGACACACATGCAATACATCACTGACACACATGAAACACACATGCGACACACCTGTAATACATCCCTGATACACCTGTGACACACCTGTAATGCATCCCTGATACAACTATTATACCCCTGTGACATACCTGCAATACATCCCTGATACATCTGTGACACACCTGTAATACATCCCTGATACCCTTGTGACACACCTGTAATACATCCCTGACACACCTAGTATACACCTGTGACATACCTGTAATACATCCCTGATACCCTTGTGACACACCTGTAATACATCCCTGACACATCTATTATACGCCTGTGACATACCTGTAATACATCCCTGATACCCTTGTGACATACCTGTAATACATCCCTGACACACCTATTATACGCCTGTGACATACCTGTAATACATCCCTGACACACCTAGTATACACCTGTGACATACCTGTAATACATCCCTGATACCCTTGTGACATACCTGTAATACATCCCTGACACACCTAGTATACATCTGTGACACACCTGTAATACATCCCTGATACCCTTGTGACACACCTGTAATACATCCCTGACACAACTATTATACACCTGTGACACACCTGTAATACATCCCTGATACCCTTGTGACATACCTGTAATACATCCCTGACACATCTATTATACACCTGTGACACACCTGTAATACATCCCTGATACCCTTGTGACATACCTGTAATACATCCCTGACACATCTATTATACACCTGTGACATACCTGTAATACATCCCTGATACCCTTGTGACACACCTGTAATACATCCCTGACACACCTAGTATACATCTGTGACACACCTGTAATACATCCCTGATACCCTTGTGACACACCTGTAATACATCCCTGACACAACTATTATACACCTGTGACATACCTGTAATACATCCCTGATACCCTTGTGACACACCTGTAATACATCCCTGACACACCTAGTATACATCTGTGACACACCTGTAATACATCCCTGATACCCTTGTGACACACCTGTAATACATCCCTGATACACCTATTATACGCCTGTGACATACCTGTAATACATCGCATATCCGAAGTAGCCGATGTATCCCACCATGAGGAGGATCTTGATCACCATCCACACCGCCTTCTCATGTTTGGTGTAGGCTGACGTCACAGCTGTCTGTAGAGTCCCCACCCCCCGGGAACACCGGTTACCTCGGTCTTCAGGTTCCTCGGGGGGAGATGGTACCTATGGTCATATACAGAGATATTATTACCTCAATCGAACATGAGACAGATATTTTGTACAGCTGCAGCAGGGAGATAATGTCTGCGCTTTAATTCTGAATGTCCCTGTATCGTCGACTGGATGTTGTTTATCGACCATCTCAGGTCCTTGATAACCTTCCCCAAAGAAATCTTAGCTCTTCGACTATCAAAAGCCTTTGTTAAAGTACGTGACTTACGACAAAGGCAGATTTGTGCCGCCGGGCCGTCAACACCACCATCCCCTCATCTCCATTTTGGGCTCCGTCTGAACTGTCATTCTCGAACGCCGGGGTATACAGGGCCGCCAATTCTGATGTCGGCATGCTGAGGAAAACTGAAACGATATGTGGCAGTGTTATTTGTTGTGAAACAATGTTCCTTGTGTAATACTTTGTATATGGGACATTCAGTAAGGGACAGAGGTGTGCTATATTTAGACTTGTACTAGAATTTAACAGAAAGATCTGGAGAGTGCTACGAGGAGCTGATTCCACAACCATCTACCTGAGAGGGTAAAGTCCAGGGCCTAGATTTTCGAAACTCCATTAGGGCTTTGATAACGTAAGTTAATGTTAATGTAAAGCACTTGCGACTATCTTAGCGCTAAGAGAGCTTCGAAAATCTGGGGCCAGCATCTTATGTTTTTATTTAAGGGGAGCTAACTCTTACATGTCATCTCATATTACACCTGGGGAGACCGCCTTAGGCTGTTGACAGGGTCAGACGTGCTTGTCAGCCGCTCCGCTGTAAGGGCCTGTGTTGGGTCTAGAATTTCATATTCAGTTCTGCGTTTGGCTTATATTTCTGTATTATCATTAAGGTAAGTGATTGTAGGCTATCGAGGGTCAAATATTGGCTTATTTCGCCATATTTGTGTGTTTTGTTGGCTCGCGGTGACTTACCGCACCACGTGGCCTCGGTTTTCGCGCATTGTTTCTGCGTGAAATTTTCCATTTCGACCTGGTCATAGGACTATTTGGGTATGGAGAGCGACACTGATGGGGATGGGGATTATAATATTCACGCTACCTCATTTGAGGTAACCTCGACGGATGCTGAATTTGCAGAGAAATACGTGTCAATGATTTCCAAACGTTTGAAACGAAAACATGAGGATGACCGAGTTGTAAGTGATACGACTTCGTCATTACCTATCAAATTTGTTGTCATTCTTACTTCTGTTGACCCAAGATTACGTTTGACAAACTTGAGTCCAATTGCTATGGCTCTGGATATCCATAAAAACATTGGCGATGTGGAGTATATGAAAAAACTGGAATAGGGAGATTTAGTGATACACTGCAGGTCTGCTGAGCAACTTAACCTTGCACTGAATGTAGCGTGTGTCTGTGACGTTCGTGTCAAGAGTTCTGTCCCAAAGAGTCTTAGTGAATCTAAGGGAGTTATTTACAATGTTGACACAGATGTAAATGAGGATGAGATAGTTGAGCAATTGAAAAGTCAGAAGGTTAAAAGTGCCCAAAGACTTTTGCGTGGAAAAGAAAAGGAACTTACTACTTCCATTCTTCTTACTTTCTCAACCTCACATTTGCCTGAACGTGTTAGGATGTATTATCAGTCCTTTCGAGTGGGTCTGTATATCCCACCAGCTATTAGATGCTACAATTGCCAGAAATTTGGCCATGTTTCAACCCGATGTAAAAGTAAAAAGCCTGCATGTCCCAGGTGCAGTGGTGAGCACAAAGTAGAAAATTGTTCGGAAACAGTATCGAAGTGTTGCAATTGTGGTGGTAGCCACAGTGCTGCCTACAAGGGATGTGAGAAATACAAGGAGGCAGTATCTGTGCAAAGGCTACGAGTAGAGAGTAAACTGTCTTATGCTGAAGCAACTCGTATAGTCAAGTCCACTCCAACTCCATCTTATGCAGCTACTGTAACCGCCGCTCAGAAATCACGATCTGTGTCGGTACAAGCCTCACAATCAACAGTTGGAACCCGTCCTGTTCCTCTTGCAGCTACATCTGGGTCTAACCCTACCTGTATTTGTAAATGTCAGTCACGAGAGTCAAATTTAAGGCAGAGTGTATCAAATCCATCTGTTACAGCTCAAGTCAGCTCTCCACAGGTAGCCAATCCATTTCTTTGTACTTCTCCTCAAACCTTTTTAACGTTCTTGTTTGAGGTGATTTCAGGATGCTTTAATGCAACAACCAAAGAGGAACAGATTAATCGTCTTGTGTCGGCGGCAAAAATACATCTTCACATCGATGTTCCTAGTGATCTGTTGACTGAGGTACATGTGGAGATGAATGATGGATAAAGCTTTAGTATTCCTGACCATAATGCAATGGAATGCACAAAGTCTTGTTGCACATGGGGATAATTTAAAGCATTTTCTATCAAATAGGTCACCACTGCCAGATATTATTTGTGTACAGGAAACTTTTCTTTGGCGAGAGAGTCATTTTAGAATTAATGGTCTACGTCAGGACGGACTAACCAGCAATCCGAATACTAAAAATCCTCGGAGAGGTGGTTGTGCTATATTTATTAAGACTGATTTGTCGTCTCAGGTTCAAGAATTACCAAATACAGTGTATGAGGCTAACGCAGTAAAACTTCATTATGAGGAAGATAAAGCCATTACTATTGTTAATATTTATAATACAGGTAAGCCAAACGTAGATGAATATCTGAAATTAATTGATCCCAATGGAGGCCCATATTTTATATGTGGGGACTTCAACAGCCATAATATGTTTTGGGGAAGCAACAAGACGGATTATAATGGTCGGATTGTTGAACAATTTTTAGATGAAGCAGATGTTGTCCTTTTAAACGATGGTAAAATGACCCGCATGGATCTTGGCAAATGGACTTTTTCTCCTTTAGATCTATCAATGATATCATCACACATAGCCAGTAAGTGTAACTGGGATGTATTTCAGGAAGATGCGTTAGGTAGTGACCACTTTCCTGTTTTTACTGAAATTTAGGTTCGACCATATCGTGATTCTTGTGATAAAGTCCCTCAGTGGAAATTCAAGAAGGCTAATTGGGCCCTTTTTTCTAGTCTGTGTACTGAACATATCACATCCGATCTTATAAATGGTGATGTTAATATGTCTAATGAAAATATCACAACACAATTAATAAGAATTGCAGAAGAGTCCATTGGAAAATCGTCTGTTAAGAAAGCGGTATTCCCGCCAAAGTCCTGGTGGAATGACAGCTGTGAAAAAGCCAATATCGCAAGGAAAAAAGCATATAATAAGGTTCGCCACTCGTCATTGCCATGTGATTTGGCTGATTTTCGTAAGAAACGAGCTACGTTCCAACGTATTGTACGGAGTACAAAACGGTTGAGCTGGAGGGAATATATTTCTAATATTAATTAGATTTACATCATTAACTAGTATCTGGTCCAAGGTGAAAACGATCGGTGGAAATAATATTCGTTCACCTATACCGGTAATGGGAGAATCTGGAGAACTCGTATCAAAAGTCAGAAAGTAAATGCTCTTGTTAAGCAATTTAAATCTGTTAGCAGTTCTGAAAATTATTGTCATGAATTCAGAGAATATAAACAAGTTTTTGAAACAAACTTTATACCTGAAATGTCTTCTGCCATGTTGGAAAGTAGCATGGAAATCAATACAGCTATCACTCATGATGAACTTAAGGCAGCCATATCAAGAACACATAATTCGGCACCAGGCGCGGATGAGTTGTGTTATGAAATGTTTAAGCATATGCCAGATTCTTCTCTAGCTGTTATTCGGGAACTGTTGAACTTAAGTTGGTGTTCTGGATCCTTGCCTAGGACATGGAGACATGCAATAATAGTTCCAGTGCCCAAACCAGGAAAAGATCCATCGCTTCCTGCATCATATAGACCGATTGCTCTCACTTCTAATTTATGTAAAATCATCTAGAGAATAGTTACTAATCGCCTGAACTATTATCTTGAACGAAATGAGCTTCTTACTCACATCCAGTCAGGATTCAGAAAGGGGCGTTCATGTATAGATCAGCATGTTCGTCTGGAAACTGAAGCACAGAAAGCTTTATGCAACCAGGAATACATGTGTGTATTCCTTGATATCGAAAAGGCTTATGACACGATTTGGAGAAATGTTTTGCTTTTTAAATTGTTCAAACTTGGAATTAGAGGCAACATGTTCAAGTGGATATGGTCATTTTTGTCCGAAAGAACCATTCAAGTTCGCATATGTCAAGAACTGTCCTCGTCACTATATGGCTGGAATAATGCCGATGTGACGTAAAGCCCAACTCAACTCAAGAACTGTCAGGCGTGCATATGACTGAAATGGTACCCCACAAGGAAGTGTAATAAGTCCAGTTTTATTTAATATTATGATCAATGACATTTTCGAGGACCTGCCTCTAAACATAAATGCAGCACAGTTTGCTGATGACGGATCGTTTTGGAGACGCTTTGGTAATTTTCAGTTTGTCATAGAATCTATACAAAACTGCTTAAGTAAAGTCAGTACATGGTGTTCAAAATGGGGGTTTAAGATTTCAAAATCAAAATCAGTGGCAATGATGATCACAAGACGTAAGATCCCTCATGATATCAGTTTAACTCTTGGACACCATAAACTGGAAATGGTGTCAGTGTTCAAATTTCTTGGTGTGTATTTTGATCAAAGATTAACATGGTCTCATCACATCACACATTTATATAACACATGTAACAAGATCATCAATCTATTAAAGTGTATTTCAAAAACAAAGTGGGGCGCTGATAAGTCAACTATGTTATTGCTGTACCAGGCCCTTATCTTGTCCAGACTTGACTATGGTTGTCAGGTGTATATGTCGGCGGCTAAATGTCATCTTAATAAGCTTGATGGAATTCAGTCTAAAGCTTTGAGAATATTCACTGGTGCATATTGTACAACTCCAACCTCAGCTCTTCAAGTTGAGAGTTCAGAAATGCCCCTTCACCTTCGAAGACAACAGGTATCTTTGAAATATTTCTTGAAAATGAAAACCAAGAACAAACACCAGTCACTGAGATTGTTAATGACTGTGGAATATGTCATGTGTGACTGGACTCATGGAAAATTACCCTTTGGCTTGAATATTCAGAGATTAGCTGATCAACATGGTATTTACAACTGTAACCCAGTTGATCCTTCTGATCCGCCTGTCACACCTCCGTGGGTTCTGCTGAAGCCTGGATTGAATTCTGAACTCAATTTAATCGTGAATAAGAGAATGGACCAAAACATAATAAGAGTGATAACTCAAGACTTTCTGTCTGAAAATTATTCTAATTTCACACATATATACACTGATGCATCGAAAGAACCATCCAATAATCGTACTGCTGGGGCTTTTTGG